AATCTAGAACAGAGGAAATTGACTTCAATAACAAGGCGAAATTATAAGAGCTTTTAGTGGCATATAATCCCATGAGAAAAGAAAGCCCTAACCCTCATCAATTATCAAAAGCTTTGTCTGGTTGAAATGTTCCTTTGTACCTTATCCTTAAATAATTACATATTTCACTTTTGCTTCATAGTGGGAAATGATAGTGAACTTTATTGCTACATTCACATCATTACTTGTGATTTTGGGAGAGAGCTTATGCCTCTACATGAACAAAGTGAGATTCTAATAGGCATTTGCTTCAGGAATTGAGTCCTCTCAATCAATCTGATTTTCAGAACTTGTGTTGAGATCGGAGAGTACTCAACAGATTTTGATTACAAGGGGTCTAATCAAACTCAAAAAGAACACAACTTCCGGGAGCACTAGTGCCAGACATCAGACAACACTATATATAATTCACTGTCCTTAGGACCTTACTTTACTACACAGCTTAATACATACGGAGCCAACCATAATGTTTATGTCCTCAACATGCCTTTACACCATTCTACGCATAATGTCATCATCTTCTTGTTCCCATTGCCAGCTCTCTCTCTGACTTACGGTAGAGATTTATGGTTATGCACTCGCAACTATACTACTCCTTGGTATTTTACAATCTTAATATATCTTCTTGATTACTTGTATTGTGATATTTGCATTATTAGTACTAACTTACTCGGCAATATTGAATTTCACGAGGGTGTTGTTGATTCAAATATAATGCCAAGCTATTATAATGATTATTATTGTTGTTGTTGTTTATTATTTGTTTTTAATTTCATCTCATCATGAGGTGACGTTAATGTGTATGGTTAGTGAACGTGGGGCATCCTCTGCAATGTTTTGACACCCAAACCGTGAAAGATGGCTAGTTATTATATTGGAGGCCTTTGTCAAATTGGGCCTATAGAGATTTCAACCAAGGAAGGCCTTTCAGGCCTTCACATTCAAGCCCAGATTCTCTATCGATATGAAAGAACAGAACAAATGCAATATACATGATCTATTGAAACAGGCTCAATGATCGCCTTGGTTTTTAACGCTTCAAGAGTTTGAGACACGGATGAAGAGGGCCAGCCCAATAGATAGATTGGGCTTTCGTTGCATCTTTCTATTAATAGAGTCGTGATAGCTTTTGACCAAAAAAAAAAAATAAAGCATAAAAAGAGTTTCCAATCTATATAGTTTTTTTTTTTTTTGGAGTTACCCAACCCTAATTATCTCTTTGAGACGAGTTGGCTCCCTCCGGTATTCCCACGAGTTTCGACTCTTTGAGCCGGCTATGGGACTAATCCGGAGTGCGGAGGAACAGTGATGGCTAAAGGTTCAGCCCCCTCTCCAATCTATATAGTTTTGCAAAAAGAGCGCAACTATCGTGATTCTTGATAATTATATTTCCTTTTTTGCAACAAAAAAGAGGGCTTTATAAATATGATTGGGTTAAGGCCGAAGAAAGAAAGACAACATCGATAAAGAAAAAATATAGTGAAATGATCCTTTTCACTTTTCACAACATATATCAACCACATAAAAAGTTTATGTCTAATTAAAAACAGAAAAATATTTCTGAGTTACTACATATAAGTAATCTACACTAACTTCTATGAGTAATCTGCATTAACTCTCAAAATGATGTCGTTTTGATGTTGAAATATTAAAAATTTATAATTATAAAAATTATTATAATCATTAAATAAATTAAAATTACAAAAACACTTTGATTTCCACCTAAAACGACGTCGTTTTGGGCTCAATGCAGATAACTTATCTGCATTAACTACAGAAAAACGAACCCAATTAAAAATGGTAAAATGTAAAAAATTGAAAAAAAATATTTTCAAAAATAATTCCAAAAAATTTGAAATTGAAATTAAAAAAATAAAAGTTAAGAATTGAAGGAGCAATTGACCATTGCGGTTTGGATGTATAGCGCAGATCTAAGATGATGCTCCACAAACTAGATTCTTTTGGGTCACACCACAAACTCACGAACTGATCTCCTCAGCATCGCATTACAAACAATCTCTGCACCGCATTACGAACAACCTCAGCACCGCATTACGAACAACCTTCTTGAAACTGGACTGTGGTAGATCTTTCAGGCTGTCTTAAGGGATAATGGGAAGTGTGTGAGCACTCTCTCTGCAACCACCAAGTGAAGACCAGAGCAGCTAGTGACTATAAGAGTAGAATATATATGTGAAACCCTAGCTCTAAGCAGAATGAGCTTTAAGTTTCTTAAGCTCTTCCTACACACTAGATCCTATTGGGCTTTAATGAAAGAGCACTACCCAACAATTTTCTTAAAAGAGTAACGACATTTACCTATTTTCTATTATTAAAAAAGGATTCATTTTTTCTACAGAGAATGTAGATAACTTATCTACATTGAACTCAAAACGACGTTGTCTTGAGGCAGAAATCAAGGTATTTTTGTAATTATAATTTATTTCAGAGTTACAATAGTCTTTTTCATTATAATTTTTTTATTTTTCAACCAAAAACGACGTCGTTTTGCGAGCGAATGTAGATAACTCAACTACATTCACTTTAGAAACATTAAAGCCATTAAAAAAACAAGTAAATGTTGTTACTCTTAAATTAATATATTCTAAAACAATTAAAATTTAAAGAGAAAGAGTAAATTTTATTGTAAAAATATTAAAAAGAATACATTTAAAAGTACAAGCATTTAAGATTTAAGCAAAAAAGAGTAACTAAATTTTTTTTAAAAAGGGAGAGATTATAATTACTACCTATTTTTCTTATTACTTCTTACTACCTAATCTTAACTGTTGATTTCTGTCAATTTAACGGTTATAATTTATGGGGTCATACTTATTAATTAATTATTAATTTACAATAAATTATAACCGTTAGATTAACGAAAATCAACGGTTAAAATTTAGTAGTAAGAAGTAGTAAGACAAATAGATAGTAACTATAACCTTTCCCTTTTGAAAATAGTTATTTTGAGAATATAAGCAATTGATATTTAAAAAAAAAAATTAACGTCAGCAAATATATATATAGTTCAGATTTTTTTGAAACATAAAATAAATGTAAAACAACAATGATATCCATTAATTTTTCAATATTATTAGAAAAAAAAATGCGTAAGCATTAAGTATTGTGTTATACTTTTTTAAAAATTCTATTATCCTGTAATCCTATTCTTCTAAGTTTTAATGGAAAAATATTTATATAATACTTATTTACTTTATTTTTTTCAATTTTTTTGATAATATATTTTAATTTTATTTATGCGAACAATATTAGACGCTAAATTTTTATAAATATATGTATAATAACAGGTTGTCTTATTATATAATACTTGATGAGATAAGTTTTTTTTTTAATTTCAAAATTTTAATAGAAGTTGAATTACTTTATTGGATGGAATAATAGATTTTTTAATAAAACAACTAAATATTAATAAAGTTCGGGTGTTAAAAAATAATTAAATTAATAGTCGTAAATGTTTACGTTTATTTGGCAATCAAAGTTTAAAAGTGAGTTTCATATAACACTGGGCTGATTTATCAAAATAATAAAATTTTAGAAAATATTTACCAATTTAATTCAGTTTCAAAACTTTTTACCAAAAAAAATTTCACATAACATATTAAAATAAATATAAAAATTATACATATATAAATTGAAAAAAAATTAAATACTATTACAAACATGAATTAAGTCATTTATTTATTAAACTTAAAGTAGGAATATTTAGAAGGTCAGGATCATTTTACACTAGTATAAGTTACACTCTTAATCTTGTCTGTTAGCTCAAATTTTTTAGTAAGGTGAGCCATTGGATACAAGTGGATCAATGGTCAAGATAGAGTGTAAGACTTCTAACTCTTACACCAGTGTAAGAATATCTTGCCACATATTTAGATTTTAATTTATAACATTATATTTATGTTTATCTTGATTTATTTCACAGTAAAATTGTTTTAACTATAAATTTTATTTTAAATATTTTGATCATAATTTTATCTTTAAACTCCTAATTATAGTATTCATTAAATATTTATTTATTTAATAAAAAGATCATTATCACAGATACTAATTTATTTTTTTTGAAAACTCACAAATACTAAATTTAAAATGTCCTTATAATGCAGGGACAACTTAACTTATTAGTCTAATCCTTGGCCCAAAAAATTTACATGGGTGTGGGTCCTTACATAGAAATCGAGTCTTATATAAAAAAAGTGATTTCAATACGAATTTTTTTCGCAAATTTATCGCTTGTTAATTATAGCCGCTTTTGGAGATGTTGGTAGTAACATCAATAGTGATGTCATGTAGAGAGAATTAGATATAACAAATCGGTTCAACAAAATAGAAATCAACATTTTAATTAAAAACGAGTTGACTCGTATTACTTAACATTACATGAATTTTCCTTTTGTCTTTGTCTGAATATAAGGATTAGTATATACTCTGTCGATTCATAATTTAGTGGTAAACTTCAAACATGAGTTGTAGTTTAATGATGAAAGGAATCCTATGAACCACAAGGATATCAACTTATCAAGTTTGGCACAAAGGGCTCTCATATTTTTTACCGTTAAATGAAGGAGTATCTTCTCTTGTTGTCCCTCCACTTAACCTTGTCACTTTGCCACAGCACACAGCTATTTATGATCAGCTTTTTCTATTTTTACACTTTTGTTTTTGGTTTTTAATTGGAAAGCCTTTAGTGGCAGCACAATCCTAAATCATTGAGATTTGAGACCATACCAACTTATGTGGTACAGTCTGTCAAACAGCACACGGTTTCTTCCCTTTTCTCTTTGCAAAACTGAGTGTTCTTCTTCCTAAAGTTGAACTCTCTTTCCTTCTTTTTCCTGGAGTTGTTACCAACCATATCATTCGTTTAAAACTTTCTTTCTTTGTTTCTCCACCTGAAATTCTCAATGACTTAGAAGGTTCCCTTTGCTCTTGAATTTCCCATCATGCTTCCTGAGACTACTTCTACTGACGAGGTTCGTTCCTTTTCTAAGTTTTAGATATCATATGATCCTGAACTTCTTTTAATACTATCTGTGCTCAAGTTTAAGCTCGAGTTACTTTTTTTTTTTAACTTATCTTTTTTTTTTTAAAGAAAAGAAAAAGCTTTTTAAGAGAATCAAGCTTACATATCTATTATTTTTTTTGCCTAGCAATCAAACAACTTTGCTGATGATTTTCATTTTCTCTATTTCTTTCAAAGGCCTGGTTAGACATGTAACTTCAATTACTGTATACATGAGTGGAGAATATATAGGATCAATATCTGTCCTGAACTCTTGATTCCATATAGATATACCTGTGTTAGATAGTAATGTAAGTAAGGAGATAACCGTACAAGGTACCTTTTGTACAAGGTAGATGGAGTGTTAGAATTATGTAGTATGGAAAAAGAAAAGAAAAATTCTAGCATGAACAATATTTGTTGTGGAGTGGAATTTCTGCAAACTAGTAAATTGTGAATGAATTCAACAAACGAACTGCAGTAGACCAAAGATTCACCAAAAAAAATTCTCCTATATTGGAACTCTTGTTGTTTTTGTTTCCATAATCCTTCAACAAATGCACTCTGTCTTTGTGCTTTTATTACATTCTCCGCTGGTTTCAACTTTTACCATGTTGGAAAAATTCTTCCTTGTTACATTTTTTTGTACTTATTTCCATTCTTTTTGTTCATGCCTAAACTGTTAGTGCGTATCTTCAGATTGCACTGTTGATTCAACTATTATTGCTTTTACGTCTTTATTAAAGGGATTTCAAAAGAAGGTAGATGAAGAAGCCAAAGGACAAAAGAGTGTTTCTTTGTCCAATGAAAATGAAGGAAAACATGACAAGGCCGAGGATCCACAAGGTCAAGCTGCCCCTTCGTCCAAGACAGAAGGATATGAAAAGAAGGCTGAGCATGATGTGATGGAGGCTGAAAAGTCTGAAGATTCTTCAGTATTAAAGGCTTTTCCTGAAGATAATACGAAACATGACAAGGTTGAGGATGCACAAGAAGATGAGAAGAAGGCTGAGGCTGGTATTCTATTTGTAGAAAAGATTGATGGTTCTCTGTCATCAGAAGCATCTGTTGCAGACAATCTGAAGGAGAAAAGTTTCATTGAACCAGCACCTGATGCAGCCAAAAGCCAGACAGAAGAACCACCAACCACAGAATCCACTGAATCTATAGAATCAGATGAAGAGAAGCAGCCAAAGACAGACAACATTCCTGAAGCATCTGCTGAAACCATTGAAGAAATAAGCAATCCAACTGAAGCTATTCCTCTATTAGAATCAGAAGCAAAGTTAGTGAAAGAAACTGAATATTTGGAAACAAGTTCCCAAAAAGTAGACAAGCCTAACCCTGAGCCTGCAGTTACTGAAGTGCAGGAAAAATCAGAAGAACCAAAGAAGGAATCTCAAGACAAATCACAAGAAATTGAGTTACCAAACACAGTTGCAATTTCTGATCCCTCGGTTGAAACCAATGAGAAACCGTATGTTGAGCAACCAAACAAAGTTGCAATTTCTGACCCCTCAACTGAAACCAATGAGACACCGAGTGCCAGTGATGCCATTGAGAATCCTGAGCCGGAGGTTCCAGAAGTGCAGGAAAAACCAAAAGAACTAGTAAAGGAATCCCAAGAAAAACTACAAGAGGCTAAGCAATCAAATACAGTTGCAGTTTCTGATCCCTCAGTTGAAACCAATGAGAAAACAAGTGATGCCATAGAGAAGCCTGAGTCCATAGTTACAGAAGTTAATGAAAATTCAGAAGAAACAGAAAAAGAATCCCAAGAAAAGCCACAAGAGGCTGAGCAAACGATTACAGTTTCTGATCCATCAGCTGAAACCAATGAGGAACCGAGTGATACCATAGAGAAACCTGAGCCCAATGTTGCAGAACTTGATGAAAAATCAGCAGAAACACAAAAAGAATCCCAACAAAAACCACAAGACTCTGAGCAACCAAAAACAGTTGCAATTCCTGATTCCTCAGTTGAAACCAATGAGAAACTGGGTGATATCAGAGAGGAAAAAAAAAGGGACCCAAATTTTGTTGAAGAGTTATGCTAGGTGACTAATAACTCTGAAGCAGGGCCTATAGAAACAGAGAGAGTAGAACATGTGGTTACTGAAATTAAGGAAAACCCAAGTGAACCAGAAAAGCAATCATTTGAAAAAGAGGAAGAGGAGCAGCTGAAGACAATTATCCATCAAACAGAATCTGAGAAAGAAGAGAAACCAGGTGACATAGTTGAAGTTCACCCTCCCCAAGACTCAGATATTGAGGTAGTGAACTCAAACTTAGAAGCAGTGCTTGTGAATGCAGATAAGGCAGGACATGTGTCTACTGAATTGGAGGAAAAGCCAAGAGAACAATTAGAAGCAGCTGAAATTGCACGTGAGACTGATAAGAGTAAGGAGACAACATCATTGAAGGTAGATAAAACTGAGAAAGTAGAGGAAACTAGTATCACAAGAAATAGTGCACAAGTTTCATTAAATGAGGAAGCTCAAGCAGCCACTGCAAATCTAGATTAATCTTCTCCTGCAGCTGCAAAGAAAGTTGTTGAAGGGGATAGCATGAAAGAATCAAGCAGCACCAATGAAATTGATGGGGTATCAAAAGAAGTTGTTGGCGTTTTAAAATATCCCGAACAATCTTTCATCAATCAAGAAGCTAAAACTGACCTCAAAGAAGAAAGAGAATATTCTGCTCCAATCAGTATTGATGAAAAGGTTGCTGCAAATGAAGAAGATAAGAAGCAACCAAGCGGACCTGATGCTGCTAAAGGATCCTCAAGAGAGGCAGAGGTGGAAATAAAAAAAGTTGATGAACAGAATGAGGCAATGACAGCTACAATAGAAGAAGGTGGTGGTGTCTAGGCAGATAGTGTAAAAGATGATAACAAGAAACAAGGACAACCTGAGACAAAGGTGGGTGAAGATGCAAGTGCAAAAGCTGTAAGTGAAAAAGTTAGAGAAACATTGGCATCTAAATTGGAAGAAAAAGAAGAGGAATCTATTCAAATTGGTGTGGATAATCTGGAGAAAGTACAAATTGAGGACACTGTGAAAACTGAAGTTAAAACTCAAGAGCCACCGGCCAAGGAAAGTGATGCAACAAAATCATCCAAGGACCTTCCTAAGGAAACTCCAGCCAAGCCAACTCAAAAACAATCAAATAACATTTTATCGAAGGTTAAACAATCACTAGTGAGAGCAAAGAAAGCTATTACTGGGAAATCTCCAACCTCCAAAACTATTTCCTCTGAAGCCAAAGGTGATATTAAAGTCAAGTAATGAGATGGACTGAATAAGTTCGCAGAATTTAGTTAGATGCTTTCCTTGTCATTGTCGTGATGCATGTCATACTTATTGGTTTCTAATTTCTATACATATCATTTCTGTTGATTTTATTTGAGTGTGTAAAAGGGTGTGCAGAGTGCAATGTACACAGAAGTCCAGGCCACGCTTCAAGCAGTACTGTAAATTTTTTATTTTAATTTTCTTTATTCATTGGGGTATACGTTTTGTACTCTTGATTGTTGTAAAAACAACTAAATGATAGGGGTGATTTGTTAACTTGTGGTGTAAAAGTGAGTGGTGTGTTATGTAACAAACATGATCATAGTATTACCTTGCAGTGATCTAGTACTGGTTGTTTATTACTTAACTGCTTGACTCCTTATTTGTGTCCTTTTTTCTTACTGGCCAAAAGAGCCTTCGTTCAACACCAACACCGGATTCTTTTTCACACGGATTTTATACTTGTGCAAAATCACCATTTTGATAAGTTATAAGAAAGATACGTGAAATTTAAATAGCATTTAGCATTACTTTACGATATAATAAAGAAAATAAGGAGTCGTTAGCAGGGTGGAGATCGGGAGATGATAATAAAGAAAGGGGTTTAAATGGGAAGTGGAATGAGAAAATGATACCCAGGAACTTCTTGCCAATACTATGTTATGACTCTGGAAAAGTAATGAGTTTTCTTCCATTTCAATACTTGCATTGGGCCCAAATATAACCAGTACAGGTTCATCATACTTGCATAGTTCATAGTTTCCTTAATCTCAGTACCCTGAACTATTACTCCAGAGTCCAGAAGCATGAGGTTCGCCCATAATAAATTATGTGTGGCACCACTTCTCTATTTCTATAATTATGAATGTTTTGTCAAAAAATGTATATTATTTCATTAATCCAACGAATCACTATAAAAGATATGAATTAAACATTTGCAAGCATGTGATATACAAACCTTAGGAGCTCCCAGCTAGCTCATGAGATAGGGGAGCCCAAAGTCCTCGGGGCTTGGTTTTGCACTAGTTTTACTAGTCCTGAAGCGAACACTGCAATGTCAGCGTCACCACTTGCGCCACTCGATTGCAACCAAAAGACATAGTAGAAAGATATGATACCAATTGATACGAACCATGGGGGAACTTCATCCCAAAAGCTAGCTTATGAGGTACGAGAACCCAAAGTCCATATAAACTTCATACCAGAACCTTATATTTTCGATGTTTGCAACTGGATCATAATAGCATGTTGGTAACAAATGTAAATTTTTAATTCCATTTGACTGAATAGGTCACTATAGTACTTGGAAGAAAAAGTGAATATTATTGCTATTGTAGAGAATACAAACAAAAGGTTACAATATATAAAAGACTAATGAGCCACAAGGAATAAACTCAAATACTTAAAAGCTAAGGAATCCTAAGAAGATAAGGAAATAAATAATTACAATATCGACTAGAGATAATTCTAATAATTACAAGAATAGTGAATGTGAATGTACAAATAAGTGTAGTCTCCAAATATGCCAAAATCTGTGCAATTTGGTAAGTCCAAAATTTGGGATCCCAATGGTTATGTGAGTTTCTACCTCAATGACTCTCAAGTATCCTCTGAGGTACTCTGGATTGAACGTGCAGAGATGAGAAACCATAGAATATGGACTCACATTTCTGAAAACCTAGATTCTTTTTACTAGCCACGATCAATGTGGAGCATCAATCATCACCTGCAAGCACAACTAAACAGTAAGTTGCTCCAATTAACTTCCAAATATAAGTAAGAAGTTAAAATAAACATGTATCTGAACGCACATGCATCTAATGATACTTACAAGATTTATCAAGCACAAGATTATCTTCTTTACTGGGATTATCAGCACCACTGTCATTTGCCTTACCACTATTATATACCGAATTCGAGTGTTCAAATCCGTCAATTGTTGCTTCACACTAGCATAACATAAACGAACACAAGCATCAACAAGTGTATGACTTCCTTAAAATGATTGTGGAAACAAAATGTCTTACTTAGATGTTCAGCAAGCTGAAAAAGTGTAGACAAAAGATAACTTGGTGGAAGGGAGGGTCAATCATCATATTAATAGGTAAATATCCAGTCTTATGAACATGGTAGGTTTACTTAGCATCTTTCTAAAAGTTCCTGCGTGTATTTTTAGTCTCTAACATCAAAAGTGCACTTAAATTCTAGTAGTTACACGATAGGCAACAAACAATCTTAACAAAAAAACAAATTTACTCATCCTACCTGCGTAGACCTCCGACTTGTTAAATTACAGCCATTGTTTTGCACAACTTGTGAGTTCATATTTGGAATTGGATCCTTTAAGGTGGAGGCTGAAGCAGAATCCACAGTTTGCATAAGTCCTGCTGTTCCACTGGAATTTAGTCCTAAAGTTGATGACTTCATAAGAGGCTCTCCTGGAAAAGAAACTAATGGAGCACGTGGCATTGGCATGGGGAATCCCTGACCAGGAAACCCAAACACTTGACGATTCTCATGTAAAGAAGTGGGTACAGAAGTATGTGCAATAGGAAGATGAGTTCCTTGCATTTGGGGTACCTGAACCATTGGGAATCTAGAAGATCCACCATTAACATCAGGCATGCCCACTCCATAACCCATTCCCAACCCATTTGCATGCCAACATCCATAGGTGCTAAAGAAGCCATATGCAGTGCATGCATGTGCTGCATTCCCGCAGGTAACATCATCGTAGGCATATATAAACCAGCTCCCATTGACATTATCTGCGTAAAAAGAATAGGAAACAATCTCACCCTATAATGGGTCGTATATAATCTGAAAAATTAAAACTCGAAGGATCAATGTAAAGAAGAGGGGGGAAGAGAAAGAGTACTTGAAGTTGGAGTTGAAGGGTTTTAAATATACTCAATTGCCTCATCCAGCATTGAAGCTTTATCCACCTAATACATATGAAGTCAGAAAATTCAAAATAAATGAGAAATCAAGTATAAAACATAATTTAAGTTTGATCCACTAATAGTGTGAAGAGCTTTACACTATCAGTTAACCATAAGTTGCTACTATTTACACCATAATTAAAAGCTTTTACTGTAAGTGAAAAAGTCTCAGTTACTGCAATGATGTGGCACTTTCTTATTTATACCAACAACAGATCAAATTGGAACTAAAAAATATATAAATAATGTATTTTAGTTCCAAGGTATTGAATTGAGCTTCTGCTATTTTTACTATGACTTTTATTGAGAGATCATGTTTCATATTCAAGAAACCAGCTAAAAAAAAGTTGAGCTTCATTATTGACAATTTTTGTGGTGAGCTCCAATGATTTGGTAAAAAGATTCCACCGTTGAAACAAACTATAATATATCCGTTTGAAGCTTAAGTCCTCAGTGGTAATCAACATTCTAGCAAAAGTGAAAAATTAAAAGTGAACCTTATTGCAATTTGGTATGAGTTCTTGTAATGCACGCATCTTCTCATTGATCCTGTCTCTTCGTCTCTGTATAAATAAATTCCAAAATTTTGTAATCACATAAATCAGAAACAATATAATTAACATACACTTAAGAAGAACATTTTGTTGTTTTTATTTAACACAACACAAATAGCAGATGGTCTTGCTTACCCTTTCAGATAGATTATGCACTTCAGTTGAACGACTTCTCTTGGAGCCCATACCTCTTCGTGTAGGAGCCGACTTTTTAACACCTGCTGATTCTTCCTCAACATCCTGCAAGTTTTTTTATTATTATTAAAAAAAAATTGTTTATAGAGGAACACTATAAAATAAGCAAGAAAATAATTTAACATATAAGACAGTGTAACTCTAAGAGGTATTAACTTCACTGTGGCACTCAGAGTCCTCGGTATCTCGACTTTTTCGCTTCGTCGGGCTCATATTCGGATATTGTATATTCGGATATTCTTTGTTACATATCCGGATATCTGATATCCGAATATTCAAAGTGGAATATCAGGATATTTTATAGCAGCAGCCTTTTTGTACGAGTTCTGAGTTTCTACTCTTTCCAAATGATTTTTATGACGTGTAATGCATGTTATTGTTATGGAAATTATCTAGAAAAGTTTGTATCACATAGGTACTTCTTCCAAACCAAAATTGTACATATGAAACCATTTGTCTTCACTTTTCTTTTTAAGGATGCATGCTTTTGAAATATATGATTTATGAATGACCTTGAGCTCATGCAATGCTTTGTTTCTATACATCTTTACATATTTATCCTAAGTCCTAAATGAATATACCATTTGAGATTCTGGACTTGGATTGATGCTTGAGACTTGGTGCATACTTTCACATTTGCTTTTTGGATATTGCTTCGTCTTTGAATCATTCCTCTTTGTTATCATCAAAACCATGTTGTCGTGGAATCATCAAATATATGTTGTATCCACATCATCACTTTGATTCATCAAATATATCAAGAATAATGTTATATTAAATAAATAAAAAGTTTTATTTCTATCTTTGTGCCAACAATGGTTTTATTTGTTTATTTATTTTTTGGTTACATAATGGTTTTATTAACTTAGTCTAAACAAATTGTGTCTATCGCGCAGAACAAATCTATAAAAAAAATTCTCTTGACAGAAGAGTTGAACAAAACGGAGGATAATATTAATAAATGATTACCTGAATGATTAAAGAACAGGCGGAACCTGATAATTTATTTAGTCTTGGCCTCGGAGTCTCGTAAACTGTACCCAGTTACACAAAGCATGCTGCCTCACTACTTACAGTTCTGCAGACATTTGTGTCTGCTTCTTTCCTGTCTGCACATGACTGCTAGACCCGTCCAACATGCACTGATTTTTTTGATGACAAAATCTTAAATCACAGCATGCGCAGGAACGAATATATAGGAGGGTGCTTCCATTGTACTAAAAAATCAAAAAAGGAGGTTGCTGTAAACAATAAACTAGCCTTTTTTTCTTTCTTTTTTGGGAATCAAACTGGCCGATTTTTATCCTTAATCTAATTTATGACGCCAATATCAATTTAATAATGTTCCATTCAAAAATGAACAAGAGTTACGATATCAGGTACGCTAAGTCGCTGATGAAAATAATTTCAATATATATATATGAGATGAGATATTGTTACTATCATATCTTAATTATTGATTTCGTCAATCAACGATTATTATTTATTATGAATTAATAATTAATTGATGAGTTTGATTTGTGAAAATGATAACCGTTGATTGGCGGAAATCAACAATTAAAATATAGTAATAATATTAATAGTAACATTATTTGGTAATAAACTAATAACAATATCATATCCCTATATATATATATATATATATATATATATATATATATATATATATAAAAGATAAAATCAAATTATATCATAATAATAAGTATTATATCCAATTTTAAATATTAGTCTCATTAATATATAATAATCTTAATTCATTAATTACGTGAATCCTTAAATAAAAGTGAAATCAACCATTCTATTTAAGATTTTCCAATTTTATACATAGGTCTGAATTGATATGCCCAGTTAGCTATTAAATAGATACAGTAGTACTATGTTTGGAATTGTTAATGTTGAAAAGACAGAATAACAATAACTAGTTCTTATCTACAGTACTACTGTATCATTACTAGGAATGCATAGTTTGGCAACACTTTAGAAAATTGTAATAAATTTATACTTTCTTTCTAATCGTTGTATTCTTGTGTAGAAATATGTGCTCCAAGGAAAACAGAAATCATGCATTATAGAACTCGACATTTTTAAGGATAAGAAGTGCTCGCCTACTCTTGGTATATGATCCTGCCCATGATGCTTTGAAGTTTGAGATTAAAAGAAAATTAATTCAACTCAAATGACAGGGTTCAGGCAAGTGGAAAACATCGAGAAAATTAAAGAGGTTACTATGTCATGTGAGCACTCTTAGATGCAGAGATAAAGTGTATCCAGAAACCTCACAATTTTTAATGCAAGGGATGAAGTTTTCTGTACAATCACTTCATCCACATTTGAACTCTTTTTCATCCATTCATTTGTAAATCTGCTTGGGACATTTCGTCCAACACCTTCTCTGCCAATTATTGTTGTAAAAAACTAGTCTAAAAATATAGAAATGTAGAAACGGTAAAAACTTAGCGTAAGAATATGTTAAAACGCAAGTAAAAATGGATAAAAACACCGCGTAAAAACTTAAAGTTTTACGTTTTTACCTAAACTCAAATTTTTTTAAAAAATATCCTATTTTTCATTTTTTTTTTTAACTCAATCTTCTCTTTTTGTATTTTTATACTTATGTCTTTTTAGTTACGTGACTTTACATTTCATGTCATTTCTACGATTTATATTTCTATCACCTTCTTCCATTTCTACCTAAAAACTCAATTTTAAGAACATTTGTGCCAATAACATGCACAAACAGTTAGCGTGCATGTCAAGTAACGCGCTGGCTACAAATGTATCGCTTTTAAAGTTGTGTTAATAAATCAAAGGATGCAATTTTTCACGTGGCCGGTGGGTTCGTTAGGATGTGGCTTTAAAATGTGAGTTGGGCTAATTAGCAATCACACAAACTAAGTCCAGGGTGGGGGGTCGCTCAGTTACAAGCATTACCCTTTTTGCTACGGCCATGGACTTTGAAGCAGGCCGAAGTCTAAACAGAGGTCCACTGGTGTTCATGACCCAGCCCAGCTCAATCAACTGATCCAATCCGAAGCTAGGTCTTGAAAATATATATATATATATATATATATATATATATATATATATATATATATATATATATATATATATTTTTAATGTTATATATTAAATGTTCCAACCTTATTCAATGTTTCATAATATTTTAAATTTTATAATGTTTTTAAAAATTGATGAAAAATTATAAAGTTTTTTTTACTTAAATTAATATATTCTATATAATGTGATATTATTTTTGTGTTGATATAATTTGTTTCAAAATATATATTATAAATAATGTTTTGATTTTAATTATTTATTTTTAAAATTTTATGATTAACTACTACTATTATTATATATATTAGGTCGGTTTTATATCGTTCAATCATGATCTAAATAAAGTTAAAGTTAAAGTTCAAAATGTTAATCCAGTTAAAATATTAAATACAATTGAGTCAGAGTTAAATTCCGCGTGACTCAACACAGGAAAGTATCCCAGCGAGGAGAATATGTTCAGTGTTTATAATGTGATGCGTATTTTATTTTTTTATTAAATTACTCTTTTATCTTATTTTAAAATAAATTATTATTAAAAATTTAATAAAAATAAAACAAGTATTATATTATAAATAAAAAATACATAAAAATTCAGTGCATGTGTATCACTGAAAAAAATTTCCCCAACGAGGTGCATGACATTGCTTTCCTTGTATCATGGGTACATGTTTTTATTTTATTTATATTTAATTGTCCGGAAGAATATCTAGTGGATGTGATTTTTATTTGTCGGCTGCATGTGGTGGAACTCTTCGTACAGATCATCATACACTGCTTTTGTGGGTCGACTTTATACGTTGGCACCTTGCACGAGGAGAATTAAAATAAAGAAATAATTTTTTTTAGAAAATGTTTAATAAATAAAATTAAGATTTTTGCTTTTGAATATTGTCAAATATTTTGAAAACTACATTAATAATCACGAGCTTTGAATTTCAGATTGAAGGGTTCATTGTTCTAAGGTTCAAATATGGGTAAAATCAAACCGTTCAAAACGAGTGAAAATTTGAACAAAAGATAAAAGAAAACCAAACCAGTTAGCTATTTATAAAACAAATTAAAAAATTACATTTTATTGAATTAAAACATATGTTCTCAACTTTTTTAACCAACAAATGTTAATTTTCAATATACGATTCAAATTTATTTAACATTATACGGAATAAATAAAAGAAAATTATTATGAACTGCTTGCTTGTTTATTTATTTATTAGTTAAATCTTTCATTCAATATTATTTTATACATGGATTTAACTTAGATATACAGAAACTGAAAAAATATACATTATATTTATATTTAATAATTATATATATAATTTAATAAATTTAATATTTTATATATGTATTGGTATAATTATTTTATCAAATAAAATATCAACAAAAAATTAAGTTATTGTTTAAAAAGATATATTGTTAATGTATCTATGTGAGTTACATAAATTGTTTGAATGCTTCCTTTTAACAATCCATGAATAACCCACGAATCTTCCAATTTGAGCATGGAGCGTTTTTCTCTCCGATTCCACAGCTGAACTTGCTTATAAAAACATTTAAGTATTAGCAATCTAAAAACAAAAGAAGGCACTGTCCATCCACATTCACATAATCACATGTGATGTGAGGATCATTCCCTTTAATTACTCCATGTTGTGGTGCTGAAAAGAAAAAAAGAACCTGCGGGAGCTGTCACACGTGATGGGGCGGTTTCTAACATGGAAAGGACGGTTAGCCATGAGAATTAAAAGACCGTTGGGTTGAGGAGAACTTTTTTGAATATTATGAAAATGTAATTGATAAAAAAATGATTGGAGAGTGAATTTTGTAGAAAAATGTAAAAAAAGTTGTTTGGTACCATAAAATATTAGTGGGGAAATTGGGTTAAATATGTTGAGTGTATGTTTTGTTGAAAATAAAAGTTTAATTGGGAAATAAATAGAAATTACGAAAGTAACCTTTTTATAAATTTTGAATGCTACGTGTGGTTAAGAAGAGGGGTATTTTTGTCTTAGTTTTCATCCACTTTTTCAATTTCTCCGGTTTTCCAAGAAATACCATGTTGCAAACGGCATTCTTTAACAGTGTAGAAGTACCTTTTTTACGTGCATTTGAAATTAGATAGGCAACTCTTTTTCATAGGTAAAAGTCATGATTCCATTCAA